CTCATTGTATCGGGTATTCAGTTATGGGAACTATATGAAGCTATATAATCTATGAGGTTTTAGATGTTCTGATGATGTATCTATAATGTACATTTCTGTCAATGTTCAATGCAATGATGGAATGTAATTATCGTGCTTTAAATCTACTGTTTGGTCTCTAGCTATAGGCGGTTAGATCGATGACAAATACCCTAGAATGATGTTACACTATTATCACAGTATTATGTAGACTGAGTTAATAGTTAGGTTGACAACCCTTGCAGTAGGGGTCGCCAGGGAACTAGCGACGCCGTGGGTTCGATGTCAACCTGAGACAAAAGATGTTAGGTCCCGTGTGACTGTAATTTGAGCCGGCACCCATACCCTTCTGACTGTGTACAGTAGAATTAAGCATGGTGGTAGTACTTCCCCGGGCGAATCCGTTCACATGGATTCTACTACTACTTTTTGAGGGCAAAGAAGCGGACGGATCACCTGATGGTAAGCGATCAACGTCGCCCATGGGCATAAAGATGGTGACTAACCGATTTTAACGTTAAATCTTTCGATTTTTAACATTCATTATATAGAATTCATGTTAAAAACTTAGATATCAGATATTTTGCATTAAGATCAGATCGTATGGTTAGGTCATAGGTAAACTTGGGACAAAATAGCCAATGTTTATAAGTTCTAGAGCCAATATTTGTAGTCTGGTGGTCCCACATGTGTCTCTTTTAGTGCCTTTAGGCGTAAGTCAATCTGTCTCCCCGCATTAAATTCACCGAAGAAGGTAAAAACTATCGTTTATTTTCTTCTCCTCTTATAATATCTTGCGATTTATTTCGTTGTGGGATCAAAGACAGCTATTCATGTCCCTGGGACGCGCCGGACTTCAGTGTTCCGGTGTTTTCATGGTTGTATTTGCTGTAGATCCTGGCTTACAGGATGTGCAGCGGTTTTGGTAGGATGTAGCGGCCAGTCAGGTGGTCACATATAATAATTGTTTATGTAAGAAGTAGTTCGATCATTGGGGGAGGCCTATGTTCAGTGTTCAGCACAGGACATCTTATGGTTGTATGATGATGATGATGATGAAAAAATGATATTTTATTCTTAATTCAATATTCCCTGTACTTTTTGTTTTGTCTCTGTATTCTGGATTTGATTTCCTTGAATAATATGTTTTGAAGTTAAAGATAGCGTGCATAGAGTATTGTCTTTTCATAATGGAATGGAGAAATTCAGTCGAAAGCTTATCAATATAAGTAGTAAGTTTTTGGAAGTGTTTTTTTTTGTGATAATGTAAAAAAGTAAAATAGAACTTTTTAAATCTGCTAGGGGCTTGTTTGGTTGTCGTTTTTAGTAGTTAAAGATTCCGTATTTATGATTTTAATAGGTGAACACTATTGGGAATTTTTTTAACTATTTAAAATTCTTTTAAAGAGAGAAAATATTTTAGACTCGGACAATTTTTAGACGATTTTATCTACCTTTTCCATTTCACAAAAAACAAGAAACTTCCGCAAAACTTTCAAAGTCCAAAATAATCACGATAGTATTACGTTTAGGAATGTTTTTAGCAGAAATTGGTCAAGAATAGAAGTAGAGTTTAAAAGAGGACAGGAGAAAGAGTAAGAGAGTTTAAACTGGAAATGAAAAGAGAGAAAAGATATTTCAAAGAAAAGGCGATTAAAATGACTTATGACGTTATGACCAACTATTTGATATTTATCTCGTTGTTTGAGTACCCACAGAAGGCTTGCTGAAAGCTCTTAGATAAGATCCATGGGTAATGGAACAGTATTTTTATATTCAAGTTCTATAAAACTACTTGTATTCTGTGCCTTTAGCCAAACGCCACTTCAGCGCTTGTCTACAGAGAGAATAGAAAACTAAATGTATGGGGATGACACTGACAAGTGTCAAAATTTACGTCAATGCCATGTAATTCGGTTTTCTATTCTACATGTAGACAAGTGCTAAATAGCATTTGGCTACAGTCGCTGGTTAGAATCCCGGATCAGTTAGGTAGTTATCAATGATCAAATCGTCTAGAAATGACTTAAAAATCGACATATATAAACCGAAAACAATGGAAAGGACTTTCTGAAAAAATTGAACATTTAATAAAAACAGGAGCCTAAGCAGAGAAGCTATAAGAACGATAGAAAAATGTCACTACAAAAATATGGATAGGATTAAAATATGGGGTTAAAAAATGTTTATGTCATATGGAAGACTTTGAGATGGGATTTAAGGGTGTCCTGTTAACAAGTGAGTTATTGTTATCACTTAGGCGGTTAGGTAATGAACAGTTGTGATATTCAAGTTCTCAAAATACAGATTCACTATACAATTATACATACTATTGTTAAAAATGCTACAGTATGTTTATTAGCTCTTTATGCTTCGTTTACTTAATTGATCTGCTTGAAATTTTGCATACATACATATGGAGACGGACAAGTTAATATACGCGGGCAATGCCGCGATATTTTTTATTTATATTTGATGGGCCGACGTTTGACCACTATCTCGCCTGGTGGTAAGCGATGATGTGGTCTACGATGGAACACGTCGACGTAAAAGCACCCTATTGCAAAGAATGCCACTCCTTAGGAGTACGCACAAAGAAGCGATTGAATGTTACAAGATAATAATACCCAATAAAGTATCAGACTTTCGATTTAACCAAGAATGTGGGTACCACCTTTAGCGAGTTCTAAGTCTGTCTATCTTTAATATTTTAAAATAATTTTAAGCTTGATCAAGGGCGGTTTAATGCTCATTTCTTCTCTGTATGAGAAGAGGTATTTATCTAGAAGTAGAGAAGTTAGTGGTTAGTATTTATATAACTATTGGTTTCTGAGGAGTTGTATAGTGAATCTGTGTAACCCGAGTCGCAATATGTTTATACTTTAAGTAGGTATTAATGTTGAAAATGGTAGGATTGTATTACAGCCGCGAATATCAAGTTTTTAATATAAATGTTAATCACTACTATGAATAAATTCCTTTAAACAACAGTTACTATAAATCCATGAACTACATATTCAAAATAAATAAAAAAATCCACGATTTTTTTTTCACTACACTAGTGATGTACTTAGGTATCGATAAAAATAAATTAGTCGATTATAGTTTTAACGATTAGTCGATTTTTCTTTGACTGCTCATTACCTAAATCAGTTTTAGTTATATGTATATATTATATAGTTTACCCATAGCGTAGTATATATTATATATTATTCCTAAACTAACGTGGCGTAGTCATACGTTTATAAGACAATAAATATAATAGAATAATACTAATATAACTCGACGCTAATCAATTGGATATTACAATTATATATTTTTTATATTTTATTTTAAAAATCACATGTTTTGATTTTTACTTTTAAGAAGTAGAAAGATACTATTTTCACAATACGATATTTTTGGAAATTTTGTAAGTTAATGTACTTTGTATTATTTTCGTTATTGCACAATTTAGTAGAGTCATTATAGTAAGTTTTATTTTAGTTATTACTTAAAAGTAAAAATCAAAATAGTTACTTTATTACATGCCTTACTCCTACGTACATAATACGTATTCGAATAAATATTTTATTTAAGTATAAAATTAAAAAACACAACTGCTTTTATGCTTTCGATTTTCGTGCGTTCATTACGAATCGATTCCAACTCGATTGTTATCTTTACAACATTTTAATCGATATCAAATCACTTTTTTTAATAGTGACGTTTCTAGACCGATTTCTGGCAACATTGAATATGGTGTTGCCAGTTTTAATCGTTGTTTTGACCATACAGACCCTTAGGGGTGTCCCTAAATTATGTAATACGTCATTTTGATCACAAAAATCCGCGCCTACAATTATGAACATATATTTTATTTATATTTTCATAATTTGTTAATTATGAAATGAGGTGATTATAATTGTATATTATTCCTCAATAATAAGAAAGCTTTATAAACAAAACCAGGCCTATAACAATAGGTAGATGGTATAAGTAGGCCAATTTTGAAAATGAAGTTTTAGCACAAAAACGTGCGCCCGTATACAAATAACTTAAGTTATAATTCTGAAGAACTTTACAGAGATCATGTGGTTATCTCTCTCTTTAGATAAAGGATAGACAGGGACAAAAGATGTTATGAAATATGTAAGTTAATACTTTTTCATAGAAAAATTGTAGATTTATTAGTTATAAACGTAATCCTGGTTATTTCTTGGTTATATTTTACTCAAAAAGATGACAAACATCGGAAATTTTCTAAACAAAAGATGTTTACCAAACATTTGGCAAATCTTCCATCCCTTCCTAATCCCAACTGATAGACAGAGATAACACTATGTAATCGATCAATAGAATCATAACCAAAAAAACCGATTTTAATACAATAATTATGCATATGTCATATTATATTTATATTACTACATTTTGAGTCGTATTTTTTTAAAGTACAGCACATATACCGATATTACGGCTTCCTATGCCCGAATCGGGCAACTTAATTAAACAAAAGTTTTAAGACACTATTATTAGGACTTATAACGATATATTTACCATTTTTATTCATAATTATTATCAGATATAATAATTTAGATAAATGCTCAACTTCCTAACATCATCTCAAACATTTTGAACTAAAAATGTTCGATTGGCTTATTTAATAATTTTACGAGGACGCTCGACTAATTTCGAGCACAACCGGAGTCCTTATTAAGAACTAATAATATTTATATTTAGAAAAGTTTCTAACAACCTGCTCGTTTTACTACTACACTGTTTTAACTGTCTCTTGATTCGTGAATAAATATTTTTCGATGAACCTAATATTAATTATTTTCTGTTGACTCTCCTACGATAAACATCTCATTATAAGTCCTTATAGCAATAATAAAAGTAGGTATAATCTCTCGTCGAATGTCGGTTAAAGTGGAGTAATGTTGTAATAAAATATGTGTTCATTCGGCGTCGGGGACTAGCATCACTCGGCGCGCCACGCGACCTTACCTGCGCGCAAACTCCGCCTTCATTGCTGGAAATTAAAAAAATATATAATTACTATATGTATAATTAAACTAAGTTTTGTCCCTTGTAAAGAAAGAAAAGCAGTTTATTTATAGTTCGACACCGAAATTGAAAATTCGTCATCATTGCGCAAAAAAGCATAATAAAACGATTAACATCATCTATTCTTTGTTCCTGCAATAGACATTCGGTATCCCAGTTAAAAAATAAATATTGTCTCCACCTACATAGGAAATTATTTAAAGAAATATCTAAACAATCTCTCTTTATAAATGATAACATTGATATGAAGATTAAGTGTGTGAGAGCCATGCGTCGACAGTGCTGCGCCGGCTCCACCGGAGTGGCCCCACCGGTGTGTGCAGGCGGGGGAGGGAGGCTAGTGGACGTACAATTACACCCCCCCCCCCGTCCTTGTTGAGGGATTGTTGGGAATTTAACTCAACAATCTTCAAATTCGTAATCTCCAAAACCGGACCGTTACATGTGCGTTACCGTTGTTTGGGTTCTGGTGTTCTAGGTGTCCATGGGCGATGCCGATTGCTAACCATCAAGTGATCAATCTGCTCGTTTACCGGCTTATGCCATAAAGAAAATGAAAATGTAAAACGCATCCTCCTGATATGACGGAGACATTCTCGAGTCACCAACCAACATAGCAACTAAAACTACGTTAAAAGTCACAAGTACAATGCGACTGACCGTCTAATATTTCCTTCTTGATCTGGTTGAGTTGTTGCCTCATCTCCCGCATCATCTCCTGTTTGAAGGCGTCCCACTCCGCGGCCGACACACAGCCGCCCTCGTTGCCGCCGTTTACTTGCTGCACATACATACATTACTTGTAACATCATTTAGTATGTGTTTGTGCATGTGAGCGAGTGGGTTTGTGCATGTGAGCGAGTGGGTTTGTGCATGTGAGTGAGTGGGTTTGTGCATGTGAGTGAGTGGGTTTGTGCATGTGAGTGAGTGTGTTTGTGCATGTGAGTGAATAGGTTTGTACATGTGAGTGAGTGTGTTTGTGTATGTGAGTGAGCGGGTTTGTGCATGTGAGTGAGTGAGTTTGTGTATGTGAGTGAGTGTGCGCTGCGTGTGAGCGCATATTATTCATTTAGTTTGTGCATAATTATGTAAGTGTGTTTTGTTCGATATTATTATTATGTAAACTAACCTTAAGTATAGTTTCCTCGCTAGCCGACCCGAACCTCTTGCGCACAGACCGCGGCGACTGTGGCTGTTGCTGGGCATTCGTCTCCGAATTAGCTGCAAAGGAATATAGCGCTTATAGTAGTGGGAATAAGGTGTAGTTTGTGTTCACATATGCGATAGCTAGCCAGCTTTGCGTCAAATAATATTGGTGCTAGAAAATAAACAGTTATAATATTTAAACGTATAAAGTTTGAGCTTGAGACACAGAAAATTTTACATCTTCTTCGATTTTAGCATCTAGCTTCAGTTCGTGTGATCATACGTCATCTCTCGCTTTTCAAGAGACAGCAGATGAGAAAAGAAAAACTATTTGACTTTTATACTAAATCCTGTGTCTGGCGACACACCATCATATAACACATTCAAAAAAACAAAAAAGAATATTTCGCAACTCAAGAAGCGATGCGACTCACAAGCGTTCCCATTACATGCGGCGGGCAGTCGATGCGGCAGTGTGGCAGACCGCTCCCAGGTCTTCATCGGAGTCGAGTTCACTGAGTTGTCTGCCGACGACTCCTGGGGAACAAGGAATGATAACAATTGTATAGTTAGTAAATAATATAACGGGTGTTGACGAGTTGTATAAGTGTGGGAGAGCCATGCTTCGGCACGAATGGGCCGGCTCGACCGGAGTGATACCACGGCCGAGCAGAAAACCGACGTGAAGCAACGCTTGCGTTGTGTTTCGTCGTATGAGTGATGTTACCGGAGGCCCAATTACCCTGCCCTTCCCCAATCTCCGCAATTCCTGAGTCCCCAACGATCCTTAAACTTCTAATCCCCAAAAGGCCGGTAACGCACTTGTAACGCCTCTGGTGTTCCAGATGTCCATGGGCGACGCCGATTGCTTACCATCAGGTGATCCGTCTGCTCGTTTACCGGCTTATGCCATAAAAAAATAAATATAACGGATATTGACGAGTTGTATCCTTGAAAATCATTTACTAATTTATCAACTAATACTCAGTTACAGTTATGGTAATATGGTTTAGTAACCAAATTAATTTTTTGTTATAAATTCAAAAGTTAATTTATTTCAATTAAAATCAACACAGTTATTTCTATGATCACCACCACAAACATTTCAATAAATTAAGCGTGTTTTCACGTAGAGCATCCAAAAGCCAAGTGAGGCCTAATTCTACCTCAAGACCGGTAAAGCATTGGTATTATAGATGTCTATTTGCGCAGATTGCTTACCATCAGATGACCCATCAGCTAATTTACTTCTCTGTATCCCACAAAAAACTGATTAAAAACCTGTAAAACAGTGCTGTTTTTGTATGTTTCAAACTGTATTGTAATAATTTATTTGTAAGAGACTGTTTGTTTCCACCAAGAAACTCCATCATGACTCCTTTACAAAAAAATCTTGAACAAGAAGCAATGTGTTCAACCATACCTCAGCCCTATCAAGATGCGCCCGGCGCCGCGCGAGCGTCCGCGCCATCTCGTTCATCATACAGGAGAGCGTGGCGGCGGGCCGGCCGGAGCCGCCCGACGACGACGACGAGCCCGAGTGCTCCGCCCCGCCTGGAGGGGACGCCGCCTCCGCGCTTGTCTGTCCGCTTGACTGGCCGTTTGTTTGCTGTAGAAGACGGTGTTGTTAGTTTAGATGTAAAGTTTTCTCATTCAATTATCATAAATGCATCATTCTTGGAGCCGGATCAAATATTATTTCATTAGTTAAGCTTTTTAATTTAACTTTAAAATGGGTTTGGGAGACTCTAGTACTCTAAATTTTGAACCATCGTCATCATCATTTGGAAGACCATTATTATTTTATAAAAACCTACGCGATTGAAGGAGGTTCGCCATTCGATGCATTTTCGAATAAGAATAATACCTAATCAAAACCCAAGATCACTTAAAAACCCCATAAAAAACTGAAAAGTTTAAATAATTACCTTGGCTTGTCTCTTAAGCCTGGCCTGCTGCAACTGCGCAGCTAAACCCGACACATCGGGGGGCGGCGCCGGCGCAGGGGGCGGGGGAGGGGGTGGCGGTGATGTCACCGGGGCCGATGACGTCACTGGGGGGCCGGCGCTAGGAGGCCCGTTGTTCTGGAGGCCCCCTGCACTGGGAGGCGGCGGCGGCGGCGGGGGACCCGACGACACTACTTGCGGCGCTTGACTCTGCTACATTTTTACATTCCCCGTTCAGTCACTTAGTTTGCACTAAGCGACCGAACGGGGAACATAAAACTAACTACTACTTTATTATATAAAAGTACAAAAGCTACTTTTATTTACAAACTTAATACTTAAAGTACATACAATACGGTTCAGAGTCGCTTGTGACATATGACAAAAGTATATGCTAAATTGAACTGAAGAGTACAATATGATTCTCTCACTACATTCATCTTGGGGTGATCGTACATCACAGAAGACGAAGGACTTTGGACCCAGTGTTAGTCTTCTGTCAGACTCCATAAAATTACTCGCTCTCTTTCAAAATGCTGGATCATCTTTCTGCATCATTATTATTATCAAGCCGTCTATTGCTAAGCATTTGCTTCTTCTTTTTGAAGAAATTGGTATACCTGAAGCTGTAATCTATTGAAGCCTTTGCAGTGTTCTGTCCGGTGTTAAAAAGTTGTTCCTCAAATCCCAAAGACAGTTCCAATATCGAAGGTATTTGATAGTCTTTTTGGGACAATATGTGTTGTGTCTCCGTATAAAAATGAGTATCTTTCAATTGCCGTAAAATAAATTCGTTAAACTGTGTGATGTCAGATTTGTTTCATAAACTTTGGACGATTGCAGAAGTTGGTAAGCGCGCCATCTCTTGATCTATAGAACTCAACTCTCCAAATATGATCGGTAGATGTAGCCAGCATAACCGGAACAGCATACAGCATTGTTATCAATTTCATACATAACACAAACATACATATACTCATTCACACACTCAGTTACTCACTCAATCAATCACTATAACATATTATACATAATAATCCAAGTAAATATACAGTATTATTCAGCAATAATTAATACTTAATACTAAATTAATAAGACCTGACTACAAAAATGAACTGTTAAACAGCGAAAATGAATTATTTTTTAATCATTATTTAAACGCTTCTATGATACTATATTATAAGATTCCTGCACCATGATTCATTATTATATTATATTTACATATAGTATAAGCCGTGACTTGTATATATTCTACTATACATATATAAAATTGGAATATCTGTTTGTAATATTGAAATAACCGCTTTTTACTACATTTATATGAATATACATACGATACATATACCAATAAAAATATAGATATTATTAATAATAGTTATTTAAACTTTTTTGTTCTCTAGGAATTTTATCAAGCTTTTCAAGAATTAATTAAAAAAAAATCGTAGTCAGGTGAAATAAAAACTAACCATTGGTGGTGGTTGTGGGGCTGCTGGCGGCGTTGGGGGTGCTAGGGGGCCCTGCGGACAATGGATCATGTTAAAACTACCTGTCGTGGTAAACTTTCACATTATGAATGAAATTTAGTTACTTTTTGAAACAAACCCTTATGTCCATAAATCGTAGACCTTAACATTTTAACTAACATAACATAACATCACGCCTTTTATCCCCGAAGGGGTGGGCATAGGTGCACATTATACCACTGTACAATGTAACACCCACTTTTCACTATTTATGTTATCGAGGCCCATGTAATATGGGGTGAGCCTATTGCCATATACCGGGCACAATTCCAGACTCCGTGCTACTACTGAGAATATTTAAAAACCCAGTAATACTTTGCCCGACCCGGGAATCGAACCCGAGACCCTTTGCCCGGCAGTCGCACTTACGACCACTCGGCTGACGAGGCAGTCAATATATTTTGTTTGTTTTAACTATAAAGTTTAAAATCGTAAAATCTCTACTAACGTTAGGAACCGGTGACTGACGTGACAGTCTGGGGGTTAAAAAGTCGTCCATTACGAAACCGTCACATTCGGCAAACGACCAACGAGACAGCCATCATAGTCTTTTTCTTCAAGTTTAAGGATTGACTGAAAGGGTACTAGCACAAAATGTTCAAGGTGCTTACGTTAGCAGGAGGTGGCAGGTTTTGATGCGGCGGCACGGGCGGCGGCGCGGGCGCTCCCGGCGCCGCGGCCGACAGCGACATGTTGGGGGGCATCGGGGCACTGCACCACACAACAATATTATTATTTTAATATAACATAACATCACGCCTTTTATCCCCGAAGGGGTAGGCAGAGGTGCACATTACGGCACTTAATGTCACTGTACAATGTAACACCCACTTTTCACTATTTATGTTATGAGTCACATGTAATAGGGGGTGAACCTATTGCCATATACCGGGCACTATTCCAGACTCCATGCTACTACCGGGATTTTTAAAAAACCCAGTAGTACTTTGCCCGACCCGGGAATCGAACCAGAGACCACTTGCGACCATTCCGACATTGAGGCAGTGGCAGAAAAGAGCGTACTAATTTTTAAAAAGCCGGTATAGCGCTACTGGTATAAATAACTCCCTATCTCATAAAAAACAAGTAACTCGTTACACCAAAGCCCGAAGGTATGTGTGGTCCGTACCTGTTGGTGCGATGGTGTCCGGGCGTGGGCTGGCTGGGCTGGTGCGGCAGCGTGTGGTGCACGCCGTGCGGCGGCGGCGCCGGCGGCGTCGGCTGCTGGGGCTGCTGGGGAAGCAAGGTCACGTTGGACAATTTTGCAAGACTTTAAGTAGAAAAACATCTTCTGAATTGTTGATTTTTACTTGAATTGCAGGACTTCGAAAATGAATTTAATAATATTTTCTTAAAGTGGAAGATGGAGTCTTCAGTTAAAGTTGTCAGCCCATTTTGTGTTTATCGTTTAAAAAATGAATGTTACTGACGCTAAATCGAATTAAGGAATTACAAAAAAATATTGAATTTAACTGAAATCATTTTGAAATCCGCAGTCAAACCGCTCTATTTGGAGCATCTTACTAATATAATAAATCTGAAAGTGAGTTTGTTTGTCCTTACTAATATAATAAATCTGAAAGTGAGTTTGTTTGTTTGTTCCACCTTCACGCCGTAACTACTCAACCGATTGCTTTGAATTTTTGCAGACGTAAAGTTAGAAGTCCGGATTAAATAATAGGGTACTTTTTAACCCGCAAAAAATTGATATTCCCGAGGAAAAACAAAAGTATTGGTATAGATGGCGCTGTGTGTATTGGTATACATATATGTCACATAGGCTACTTTTTATTATTTTGTGACGCGAGCGAAGCCGCGGGTAAAAGCTAGTAAAACCTAAATAAACAAGCACTTCCCAAGTGTGATAAGTATCAAACTACCTACCACCATTTTTAAGGAGGAAAATCATCAAATTATAAGCCTTCTCCTGCCCTGAGTGAGGTGAAACGAAGTGTCAGACTCTTACTGGCTAAGAATTCCAACTCCTATTTCGAGCCGGAGCCCCGGTAACCACCTGCAACTGTACTGGACATACCTGGTGATGGTGATGCGGCGCATGGTACTGGCTGGGGGCCGCGTGGTACTGCTGGTGTTGTTGGTGTTGCTGGTTGTGGGGGGCGTGGTACTGGGGCTGCTGGAAGATGGCGGCATCTTCGCGGGTCATTGTTCTGTTGATCATTTGGAGGGGTTAATGGTGTCGGTGGGTAAATGTAAGTAGGGATATGGTGTAAAATAGCTATATTATTATGATGATGACGTAATATTATGCCATTTAGTCCCAAAGCGATAGGAAGACATATGCATGGACTTTTCGGCAGTTTGTATAATCAAAAATGGCATAAAAAGTGATCGATTCGAGTCATGAACTTGTTATTCCTTATTTAGTACGTACTACTACTACATATGATGATGATTTATACAAGTTGATAGATGGTCATGAAGTAAAGAAAAAAATAAATCATAATTTGATTTCACGTGTTCAATGGTAATGACATTACAACTAGGCTAGTCAGTAACTTTCAATTCAAAAGATCGACGTGAACTCGATCGGGATTCGCCATGCCATTGGTTGTGAGAATAATCTCGACCAATGACAGGCGAGAATGGGATCGACCTTACTTCAAAAATTCGAATTGACAGATACAGAAAAGCGTAGCAGAAACTTAACTGGACCAAGTTAAGAACATTCACACTTTTTTCAATCTGTATATTGAGCCCACAAGAAAACTAACAAACCAAAGAAAATTAGTCAAGGATGTGAATGAGTATGAACCCTAGTCTCCTAGAGTACTAGTTTACCTGTACCCCATGTCCTCGTCGTAGGTGTGAGCGTTATTGTGCCCGTTGTACGGCACCGGCGGGTTGGGCGGCTGCGGTGGCGCCGGCGCATTGTTCGTCGCTGGTTTGTTCGCCAGGATCTAAAGGAATTTTGGGGATATTGTAGTGTGAGAGCATTTTGGGATATTTTTGATAGAAAAGTATATGCATCCACGTTTTTATTAGTTGGAGTTATAACAAAGTACAGAAAAACCTTGAAACGGTGGAGTACTGAAGTCCGGTTTTTCTCAGGAACATGAACGTTATTGGATCCCGTAACAAAATCAAGGCAAGATAACAATTAAGTATAAGGAAAGACATAGTTTCTTCCACCATATGACTTTTTTTAAACGAACTTTTTTTACTCTCAAAGACCATGAACTTCCAACTCTTGCAAGCTTGTAATTCCTCTGGTGTTGCGGACGAGCGGCGCTAATTGCTTACAATCAGGTGATCCATCCGCTTACCACTATCCCACTAAAAAGGACATGCGACTGAAAGAAATCAAGTTCCTAACCACCAGGTAACTTGAACGTATATCTTACCTCCAAGGTATGCATCATGGCTCTCGCGAAGCTGTCGGCATCTTCTCTACAGGAGAAGTTGAGGCCGTAAACATGCCGCGCATCCCTCCACTGGTGGAAGGTGGCGGTCGCCTGGTTGTACTTCAAACCACGGACTATTCCACAGTTTATCACCACCTAAGGAGAATAGTGTGTTGTTGGAATATGTAACTGCTAAATGGTGTGGGAGTTGTCATCTCGTGTGTGCTATGGGTTTTTGAAGGTATATCCTAACCTAACGTAAATTATACCACATTACATAACATAACATAACATAACATCGCGCCTTTTATCCTCGAAGGGGTAGGCAGAGGTGCACATTATACCACTGTACAATGTAACACCCACTTTTCACTATTTATGTTATGAGTCCCATGTAATAGGGGGTGAGCCTATTGCCATATACCGGGCACAGTTCCAGACTCCGTGCTACTACTGAGAATTTTTTTAAAAACCCAGTAATACTTTGCCCGACCCGGAAATCGAACCCGAGACCCCTTACCCGGCAGTCGCAATTGCGACCACTCGGCCAACGAGGCAGTCCACCAACGAGGATACCACATTAATATATCATTACTGGAGACACACTTCATATGTATAAAAGCAAAAAACCCGTTTATCTCATCCAAAAGACGATGTATTCAAAATCATTATAAATTAAAATGTACTAGTAAGAGTTGTAAGCAATTCTAGGAAATTCTTCAGTCCTTTCTTGTCAAACAGCCTGATGAATCTTCACCTAATAATGAACTTTCTTATTTGGTCATAGAGTACAAAATAACTAACCTCGTGATCGTTAAGCTTCCGTCCCACAACTCTGAAGGTATTGTGCTGGGTGTGATGGTAGATGTGCACCTTGGACAGGCCGGAGCTGGAGCCCGAGGGCACCCAGCGCTTCAGCCCGTCGTCGTACACCATCACGGACGCCCGGGCGCTGCTTATTGATTGTTCGCTGGTGGACAAGGGAGAAAATAAATATTAATAATGTGACAAAATTGGATTTAACACGTTGAACGCCATGGGGGTCACCGGTGACCGGCGTTAGCGGAGGATTTGCCAACAGTTTTTTTTTTGGCAGTCAAAGTCTTAAGATATTATGTGATTTGTTTGATTAGCGTAGATGCTGAGCAGCCAGCTGGCTGCTGCATAACGTATCGAAGTTTTGAATACGAACGGACGCGCCCACCGGACAAGGTATCTCGACTAGTTTCAAACATAGTAGGGGCTCATAGTCAGGACCTTATTCATGAAAGGGATAAATACATTTTATCTACAGTTTGTGGCAGCGGATAGTTACCATTCGCGCACAGTACAATTATGTCTTAAGATAGACTTAAAAACCGAACTGCAATAAATAAAATATATTGCACAATAATTAATTAACCTTTCAGTACAAGTATTCATCTCCGACCAATATACAACAGTGCCTGTTTATGAAACATCGCAATCAGTTGGATTACGTAAAACTTGACTTATGTAACGCCTACCTACGCTCGTCCTACGTAATTTTAATACGCCCACGTAAAGGGCATTATGTACTATTTATAATGTACTTATGTTTATATGTAGCAACCACATATTTGTGTAAAAATACGCAACGAAAACTATTGTATCGTATGCAAAAATAGTTAAATTTTGTGTGAGATTAGTATGTCACTAAAGGATAATATTCTCTGCGATTCTAATACTTATTATATAATCCTGAACAGTTTGTTTGTTTGTGTGCGCTTATCTCCGGAACTACTGGTCCGATCTTGATAATTCTTTTGTGTTGGATAGTCCATTTATCGGATCAGGCTATAGGCTATAAAACATCACGCTATGCCCAAAAGGAGCTAAGCAACGGTTGAAGCCGCGAGCGAACAGCTAGTATTAAAATATGAACTTCCACTTTTCAGTTACATTAGGCTTTATCAAGTCCTATGTAAGATAGACCTAGCCTATTGCTGTAAATTGCTCCGCCTTCATTCTATTACCCCATCAATCCAATAACAATTTTACTCAACACGAGAAAAAACCTGACACCCCTTGCTCTCCAGGCGACTTTTCAACCATAGGGGCAGCTAAAGTCGCGGAGAACCTAACGGGTTACCGAGGCTCCGGCTCGACGTGCAGGAGAAGGAACGGGGTGCTTTTAGTCAGTAAGAGTCTGACACTCCCTCCCGCCTCACTCAGGCGGGAGCAGTCATTCCATGGTATTCCTTCCTTAAAAAAAGGGGCAGCTAAAATAATAACCATAACTATTTTTATAAAACCTACTGGAAAGTAGGACAACAATCTCAACACATAATTACAAACAGATAAAAATTGTATCATATTAACTATAAATAACTATTATGCACGGAACATTTAATTAAATTCAATCAATGAGTCACGTACACCCTTATAACAATATGCATAAGGTTACATTTCCAATAACGTTATACAGAAGGCTGTCACGTAACGATTTGCAAGGCAAAATATCAGGATATCGTGTGTATTATCCTGTTGGTTACATTATATAAACATCGTTATATCCGTATAACATCTCATATACTTATACTTTATTATATAAATCTGAAGAATTTCTTTGTTTCAAAATGCTAACGTGTTACCGGGGCTCCGGCTCGAAGTGCATGAGAAGGAACGGGGTGGTTTTTAGTCAGTAAGAGTCTGACACTCCCTCCCGCCTCACCCGGGCGGCAGAATTCATTCGATGATTTTCCCCGCTTAAAAAAAATTAGGAACTACTAGTTTGTTTTGTATAGCCCATTTATCGAGGAAAGGTATAGGCTATAAAGCATCACGTTACAATCAATAGGAGCCGAGCAGAGCGGAATAAACCGCACAGAAGTAGCTAGTGCAAAATATAGTTAGATGATAAATGCTTGTTTACACAGATATGTTGATGTGTGATTATTATGTAATCTGTCCCTTCATCAAAAGCCCGTAGCAGTCCATTGCTGGTGCTGGTCTATTAGCTATCTGCATAAAAGACTTACATCATAATCTCCACCATTTAACAGGATTTAAATGGTAATTATAAGGTTCCAGTTTATCAGAGATTGCTGCTGCCCGTTCTCTGTCATATGGCGTCTCTTAGTCGGTTTCTACGATACCACTCATGGAAATACTAGGACTTTAAAAAAAAAAACGTTGCCCCACACTACGATTTTCTCCTGTGTCGTGAGCGCGTTTACGACGATAGAAGTTCACATACATATGAAACCCAGACCCGAAACAACAATCTGTGGATCACACAAAGAGGTGCTCCGTGCGGGAATCGAACCCGCGACACGTTGCACGGCAGCCAGTTGCCCAGCCACCGCACCAACCTTGCAGTCGAGGAAGTCAAAGGAATGGATGCATGATGAAAAGTATTCTAAACTGTCATAACTACATCACATTGTCTGTTAGCTTAACTGACATATTATTTTGACTCATTTCATATTCATAAGGAAGATACACATTTTTTGTTAATCGCAGCATATTCCCACTGTCAAAATGTAACAAGTTTATACAAAATAGGATCAACAGTTAGTACAACTAGAGTTATTGATACATTACGTCCACAACAAAACAAGTAAGTACTTTAAATAAAAAGTAGATCAGTTACGTAAATCTCTCAAGCGAGGACGGTCGTGTGGGTAGTATGTGTAGCAACAGTATGGGTACATGGGTAGATTGCAATACAAGGTCAGGGGCCGTTCAAGTATTACGTAAGCACCAAGGGGGGGTGGGGGGGTCTCTGTTTTGCTTATTTTGGATGAATTTGGGGTGGGGGGGTCTAGATGATGATTACGTCATCGTTAGTTATTCAAGTTTTTTCGGGGATTCCCGCAAATAATACATATGCGTAGGCACTCGCTTTGAGAACTGATTAGGGGAATTACCGCGCATTAGGGAAATTACCGTGCGCTATTCACTTGTCTAATAATTCGCTCTCGTGCCGGCCGCAAGCTGCAAGTGCGCATCTATCAGTATTGTTTTGTTTGGATTCTAAACGTATTGTAAGCATTGAAAGTTATCATTTGTGTTTATGTTGATGCAATTAGCCAAAGTTTAACGTTTTAATTATTTAAATTTAAATATCTTATTAGAATGTCATATCATATAGACAAATCCAAGTTATACCAAAAGCTGTTCGAAAGTTTTAAAAAATCTCATACTGGGACAAAATCGGATGAAAATGAGCAGACTCACAACACTGAGCAGCAATCCAATGTCATCGATAACTTAGAATCATGGATTCAGGTTTCATGGACTGAAGACTGTTAATGTATTCCGAAAATATTCTTTATGTTAGTTATGTTCTTTATTTCTGATTATATTTTTTGTCATCAGTTAAACTTAATATTTCCATGAATTTTCCTATTTTAAAAATAACAATATAAAAAAACATTTATTACTAAAAATGTTTACGTAGGTAAGCATAGGGGGAGGGAGTAAGTGCTTTGCTTATTTTTTATGACAAGGGGGGCGGGGGGGTAAAAAATGGTAAGAAATCTGCTTACGTAATACTTGAACGGCCCCTCACTAGTAAATGTTCACGTCGTTTTTGATACACGTACAGTTAGTGGCCAGTAGATCAACCTACCCTAATCTTTATATTACGTCTGTATGTACACTGAAGTCTCCTGCAGTAATTCACCGAGGGAAGTGGAAACTATCGTTTCATTCTTCTCCTCTTATAATATCTTCTGATTCACTTCGTTGCGGGAACCAAGACAGTTACTCATGTCATGGGACGTGCCGGACTTCAGTGTTCCGGTAGTGTTTGGTAGTATCTACTGTAGATCCTGGCTTACAGGAGTCGCAGCTGTTCTGGGAGGATGTGGCGGGCTTGTCCCATTAAAAAAATCTTTATATTATAGCATTCGTGATACATACTAAATTAATTATCATGTTTTTGGCTTACTCACGTAATTATTTGTTTCAAACTATGCTAGGGGCTCATTCATGAGCAGAATTCCGCGACTCGCGACGCGGCGACTGTCGTGCTGCTACTCGCGTATGAGCCTCTAACATGGATTGAAACCAGTCGAGTAAATACGTGAGTACCTAAGCTCTAAAACATAATAATTAATATATTCCAATCTGTTCATATTCAACTCAATTCGTTAGGGGATAGAACAGCCAACGAGTAGACGGATTGCCTAATATAATAAGCAATCGGTACCGCCTATGACACACGCAGCACCAGAGGACTTGGTGCACCGCAAGTGCGTTGTCGACCTTTTGGAGGTTTTAAGTTTTGGGCATTTAGGATAGGGGAAAAATGGGCTTCTAGTAACCTCGTCTACACTGCTAAGCACAGTGCAAACAGCGTTGTATCACGACGGTTTTCGGTATGCCCGTAGCATCAGTCCGGGTGAACCGGCTCATTCGTGTCGTAAAGCATGGCTCTTCCACACTTAACACTTATAAGAATAAAGTTAAAAATCTAATAAAAAATTGTAACAGAAAGGTGTAGGTTAACCTGCATGCTATTGTACATGATATTAAGTAGGTAGTACTTGACCTAAATATTGAACGTATTCAAATTGGCCACGTAACTAATACTTGAGCGTCTCATGATCTGTGTCTGCCCACGTAAATGTGAAGAATGGTTAAGATTTGTTTTTTAGGTTAGACGTTAGAGAATTGCCGGACGGAATTTTGATGATCTTCAATATTCCAAGTCCTAATTAAATGATATAACAAAATTATTCGTCACATTAAACGCCAAGGGGGTCATCGGTGACCGATGTTAACGGAGGATGCCTTTAACAGTTTTTTATTGGCAGTCTAAACCTTTATAAACCCACTTAGTTTGTAAAACCACCTGACACATTTGGGAAAAACTCTGTATATCGAAACTAAGCCCACTAACACAACAAAGAGTCATCAGACCACCACAGATGAGGCCCAGGAGGGCTGATGCCTGATACGGGGCCGCGGAAGATTCACTGGGTGCCGGGGCCCCGGCTCGAA